GTTGCAAATAAAAGAGCTTACTGTGACTTTTCATTGTCTACGAGTACGGTATGGGCAATGCAAACTGCTAAGACCGAGATGACTTTATGAAGACGTGCGTCCCACCCAGAGGAGACGATCGTTGCAGGTGCAACAGCCAGAAGTTCCCTGCGAGAAGTATTTAAGGCGCTTCGACAGAAAGTGGGGAAATACTTTTCAGGCATCGGCGGTTGTCTAGCGTATGTGGGCTAACCACGTGACACGAAATCTAAATCGCTCGACTTGGAATGCTAGTATTGCCAGCCCACCGCCAAGCTACATTTCAAACCTTCTCGATCCAGCGGAGTCACGCTTTGAGGAGCATTTAAATGGAGTAGCGCTATCTTCCAGTGTGGCGCTAGACTGTGTGAGAGCCTCTATCGGCGACTGTCAGCAGCTCGTCGCTACCTTGAATCTGCTGGACGTTACCTTGACGATCAAGAATAGCGATTGGTAGCACGTGAAGCTATCATTGAAGGCATTATTCGCAATCTCGTGTCTCCGTCTCCAAGCACGATCATCGACCCGATGCCCCTGATTGAGAACAGCGAAGACACAGAGCACGCCGAGTAAGAATTACCACAGTCAAGCAAGTTTTCTATTATCTATCAGGTGTGAGAGCTAAAACGTATCGTACTTTGACTAGTTAAAGCTTACGATTCCTCATCAAGCACAGTAAACTCCAAGTCATCATTTCTGGTCGTCATTGTGTTGAGTTCTGGTTGCGTTCGCTTTTCAATCGAAAGAGGCCCAACAGGATCAAAGTAACCTTGAATATTCCATCCACAGTGCTGAAATACCTTGCTGAGATTGTATCGTCGGAACCGGTGAAATGTCTGGACAACAAAAGGCTTAAGATCACGCCCACTAGATTCGAGGTAGTGTCGCTGGAATGAGCGCTTGACGTAGCCAAACAGGAAGTCTATCGGATTAAAAAAAAAGGCAATAAGCCGGAAGGAAAATGGGCACAACACCAACACTGCGAAGGTAGTGCACACCCTCTGGGTGCCTGTGAATAGTAGCGCCATCCAAGATCCAGACTGAATTTCGACCAGGGTATTGACGAACCGGTCCACTTGGGCAATGTACGAAATCTTGACAGCATTTTGTGAACTCCACTCGGTCACATGTGCCCTCCGTGCTGAAGTAGTCTAGAACCCCATTAACGCCAATAAACGCTAGGATTAAACCCGTGGCTTTCGCTCAAATTCACCGCGAATAGCAGCCATTTTCCCACGAATAGCGTAACCTCGCTTGCGTATCATGCCTCTGTTATCGAAGCTGACCTCGTCCAGGAAAACAATGTTTTGGTGGCTCCAGTCTACGTGGCTTAGTTCCTCCACGAAGCGAAGCACGTCACGTTCCTTGATGTGCATCGCGCGTCGCTCCAACACCTTCCAGGTGAGGCCATACGCGTGTATTATTCTCCAGACTGACGTTTTTGAGGTGTCAACAGAATGAGTCCTCTTGAAAGCATCTTGGGCTTCGTCGAGATACGCAAGAGGTCGCTCCTCGTAGTAATTAAACAGCCATTGACGCTGCTGCTGTGTGTATTGTCTCCTGGTGACTGTGTTCACTCGCTGAAATACCCCCGTAGTTTCGTACACCTTAATCCAGTTACGGATTGTGCGCTCCGACTTGTTGAAGATGTGCGCAAGATGCTTTTTGGAATAATCAAGCTTGTAGTAAGCATAGAGGCAATGGTACACAGTGTTGGCGTGGGCGTGCTGCCGTGTAGCAGCTTCCTCTATGGTGTTCGCACACTACGCTATGAGCGCAGCACTTCAACATGCAGCCAGCGCCTTATTGAATATATTTAGGCTAATAATCAGCGTTGTTTTCTTATTTTGGACCATAGCTTCTTGTTGCCTTATCGCCCGATTGCTGCCACGCACACCTTCGGCAAATTTGAACGGAATTGACAATAGCTTAAAAAAACAAGCTAATCACCGAGACAATATACGGGTCTGGGCCAAAATATCTGCAGGGTAATTGAAACTTAATTTCAATCGAGTTTCATGTGTACTGCTGAGGTAAACCGTCCGGATAGATTCAGTAACTATTAGGAGTATCGCTTTAATTAACAAGGCACACAAAACTACATGTTTGCAATATGAAGATTTTTTCTTCAATGAAATGAATTTACTGTACTATAGAACTTTTACGCACTTCGTCGACAGCACATATTTAAGTTCCTTGAAACCTAAAATCCCTTCCATCCATTTTTTGTAGCCACTGCAAAGCGAGAATGCCAGTCACGGCACCCGTACTCGTCCACACACGGATTGCCGTAAACGCACGAACAGGATTCGAAGCCGCAACCATCGTATTTACCTGCCTTCTTCTGCTTCTGGAGATCTCCGTCCCAAAGCGCCTTCGTGGCTTCCTGATCGCGACGCAGTCGATCTGCTTCCTACTCTACGACGACATAGTACGCTTGATCCTTCTCAAGATTGTGATAAGTTCCACGCGGATCCTCACAAACGAGGCTGTCGAAGATGCCACTCTCCTCACGGTGGAAGCGTTCGGGGTTCGGATGTCGCGAAAGCCGCACAAAGCAATTGGGCATCACAAAAGAAAGACAATAAATTTCGTCGATATTAGCTTGAGTTGTTGACCCATCCTCGATGGGGAACAGTTCATCGTAGCTATCGTAGATCAGCTTGACCATTCCATTGCCGTTCAGCTTTCGTAAACACTGGGTCTCCTCAGCCGCAGCAGCAGCTTCTGCAACAGCGATGGCGTCAGGAGATGGCTCAACAACGGGAGCTGGTAAAATCTCCGTCATGGTCGGTGAGCCAGTAATCTCTACGCTAACCGATTCCAAGTTTTCGGTTGTTGTTGTCCCAGTTTCGACTTCGATAATAGTGACTCCAGGGTCCGGGCATTCAGTAGCATTTCCACTTACAATTTGTTGTTGTGTAGCACATGTAGCTACTTGGGGCGCTGAAGGGGTTTTGACAGGCACTGATAGTTTCGTAGGAGGAACCCGGGTTGTACTTTTCGATAGAGATCTTGGTGGTGGGGCTTGTACAGCATTAACGCCCTTGAGAGCAGCCGCAGGTTTGGTGGACATCGGAGCATCTTTAGCCTGATCGAGACGAGGGTACACTTTATGAGAGGGGTTGATTGTTCTAATGTGTTAATACTGTACCTTCCTTGGTAACGGTGACGCTAGTGCTGGCAGTTTGACATCCTCCTTCTCACTCTTACTCTGGGAAAACAATGACAAACCCCTTCACGTTTCGTGCTCGATACATGCATCGATCGCATCAAGATTTAAGGCACGCATACCTTCTTCTGTACATTAAAACTTGCACGCGGTGTCTTGGTGTTGCCGGCCTTCGGTGCCATCGCTCAAACAAGTAAATGTGCCTTCCAACTCCTAGTTCTACTGCGTAGTACTGAACTGGTATAGTCTAAATGATAAGAATAAAACGAAACATTTCAGGAGCAAAAGCAAATTGTGATTACAACCCAACAAATACGTGGTGCTTCGTATCTCGGTAGTTGTAAAGATCACTTTAGTGTAGTTGTACGAGTTCTTCAATCCGCAGAGTCAAGTCCTCCACCGTAAACTGGTCCGTGCCATCCAGCATCCCGTCACTGTTGAGCTTGTCCACAACCTTCGTCATCTGAGGCTTCGGCAAGTCCAGGAAGCTCTCCACCAAATCGCCATCGATAAAGTTTCGAGCTTCAGACACTGACCGTCGGTTTTCAAACGTGCGCCAGTCCTTGTGGGAGAAGCCACCGACACCTTTCACAACGTGTGTGAGGGCTTGCTGGACGCGGAGCAAGAACGAGTATTGGTCTTTGCTGATCGGCAGAATCACGCCAATCATTCCACTGACAGTTCCAAAGAGCATCGACTGGTTTTGAACGACTGGAGCAGCAGGAGCTGACTCACCCACATCAACCATGGCAGTGGGGCCAGTCGAGACGACACCAGAAGGCGTCTGCGAAGTAGAAGAACTGTTCTGCATGACCAGTGATCCATATCGGAAGCGGTTAACGAATTCTCCCAAGTGGAACTCGCCAACGGTCTCTAGACGCCCGCGTTCTTCATCGGATGCTGCACCACTGTTGCGTTGCACAGTAAATAAATTGAAATCCGTCTCGCTCCCGATGTACGTGTCGTCGTCGACGATACCGACGGCAGACATCCAATTCGAGTTCAGATCCTTCGCGATCTCTTCGATCGTACCGTCCAACTGCTTGTAGCTTAAGAGCGAGATGGACTTCATGAGATCACCCACCACAATAAAGTCGCCTCGTGACTCCATGTACAACACCAACGTGTGACCGTAGTGGCCGCATTCCGACACCAGCTCCTTCTCGTTGTCCGTGTTCTCGCTCCACTTGTACAGCTGCGCCTTGCTGTTCACACCTGCTAGTACCTTCCCATTGAAAGAATTTAGGCAGTACACAGCGCCCTTCACTTCCTTCTCAGTGACCAACTGCAGCTTCCGCTCTCCATGGATGCCCGTGACAGCGAACACAAGAATCCGACCTTGGTGGGGCTCAGCCTCTTCCTCATGAATGTACGCAGTTCCAACTACAAAGTACGACGCGTTCACGGAATCGCCGGCAAGAGGACACACGACTACCGAGCAGGGAGTCTCGAACGGATCCAGGCGGTACGAGTGCAGCACTTCGAATGTCTGGTCGTCGAACAAACGCACAAAGCCCTGGTCCACTTCCTCGCCTGTGTCGTCCACTGTAAAGCTCACAGTCAGCACTCCAAGTGTGTGGGACTCCGGATCGTGAGCAATTCGACGCGCCCACTCGTTCAAGTGGAAAGTCTGGATGTGCAGCTTCTGAATGTCGTCCACTGTACCAATCGTCAGTTCTTCTTCCGAGGACAGCGCAAGACACTCCGGGAAGGACTCGGAGTCGAACGGACACATGACGTTCACTTCCTTGGAGTTGATGTTGGAGTAGAGCAGCTTGTTGTTGTTGGAGTAGATGACTGTCGGCCGGTCACATGCTGCGAACACGTGAGTCATGTTTTTGGATCGAAAAGTTGACAACGAAAGAGGCTGCGAGCCCAGTGACACCCGCTTCCGAGTTCCCAGAGCTCCCTGCTGGACGTCCAGCTCATAGTTCATAAGACTGCCATCGCCCAGTCCAACCAGCAAGTAATCTTTCCCCTCGAATGTGTTGCACAGCACTGATCGCGGCAGTAGGTCCGTCCCGAGCGCTTCGGTAGTTCGTTTCTCCAGAGTTGGTAGTTGCAAGACGCACACTGAGAAGCTGGTCCACAGTCCGACGACACAGAGCGTACTGCGAAGTGCAGCCATGTCCCAGTGCGTCGAAGAGCCCGTCATGGCCACGTCTCCATCTCCCGCGCCACTGCTAGTGAGCGGAGTGATATCCACGCATGCGAGTTCGTGCTCCATCTTCACTGTCGTCTTCTCGACAACCTGACCGTTCTCAATTTCCAAGTACACGAGTACACCGCCAGATGTCGCGACTGCAACCTGCGTGGGATTCGCAGCAGCTACTGTGATTCGTGACCCGGACGCTGGCGACCAGGTGGAGCTTAGCGAGAAGGAAGAGCAGCTGATAAGACGCACCTCCGACTCAGTCACTTGCAGCCAGTAGTCTCCATACATGTTCCGACACAGTAGAGTCTTAACGTTCGTGAACGCTGGGATTTCCTTCTCCTCCATCTCGTCCTCGTCGCCGATAGCAAGAATGCGAACCTCGCTCACATAGCTCTGTAGTAAAAACTTGTCGTGCTCTGCAGCAAAAGTCTCACGAAGCGCCCACATGCCCTTGATACCCGGTAGCTCAGCGCTCGCTTGCTCGTTGATCCCAATGCCGTTTCGGATCACACGCAGCGTTCCGTCCTTGTCAGCGCCACTGCACGTCACAATTTGGCCTTGGCCCTGGCGATCGAGATCCATCACGCAAAAATCAATTATCGGCCCGACGTTCACGTACGAGTCCAGAACTTCAATGTACGACCCGGTCTCGTCGCGGTCTGCGTTGAGTTTAATCAGCTGCGAGTCACCAAATGTGCTGCCAATAAACACCACGCCATTGTCCAAGTACGACAGACAGGACGCGATATTCGTCTCGCCAAGCACCTCTAGGTGCACCCCGCTCACTTCCTTCCCGGTGTGTTGCAGAGCCACTACGGACAGCGTTCCGTACTGGTCAGCCAGTAAGAACCTCGACCCGTCCTTATCCACAGCTCCATACACTTGAATCACTGTACTCTGCATCGGAATAGCGTGAAATGTGCTCCCGTTATGGTACACGATGGTCTGGTTGGACACAATCAACACGCCGCCCGTCGGTGCCGGCACAGGGATCAACAAACTCGCCCCAGACTCAACGTTGGACTGACTCCACGGTCCTTCGGCGAAATCCTTCTCCTTGAGCAGAATATGGTACGTCTTCACGTGTCTGGCGGCCTTGTAGTCCTCGTACAAGACACAGATGGTGGGTTTGTTGTAGCCATGCAGGAACTTGATGTCAATGACTCTCAGCTCGTCCAGGCGGATGTTGAACGTGTCTCTGAGGATCCCCTTGCCACTGTCGATGGGGATGACCTTGAAGTAGCCTTCGTACAGGTTCATGCCGATCAATCGGCCCTCTGGATCGATGTTGCCACTAGTGACGATCTCGCTACTGCGACCGATCGAGTCTCGGATGCTGCCGTGCGCTTTGGTCACCACCTGCTGCGCAGATGAGTCGTACGCCAGCACACAGAACTGGAAGCGCTGTGTGACGATAAAAATCCAGTCCTGGGGCTCGTTGGCGGCGCGGAACACCTCGAAGATGGCGATACGGCCGTACAAGTTGATGTCATGCTGCGGCTGGAGCCCCTCGGGCGTCAAAAGGTGCACTTCAAAGCGGGTGCTTTTCGCCAGTAGCAAGTTGGTGTCGTTTGCGCCCGTGAAGGCTGCTGTGAGCGAGTGTGTGACGCTCGTGGGCTTCTGAGCCGTAGCAACGTAGTTGTACGACATTTTGCTCGATTGCTTGGGCTACAGAGAGACCTACGCCGTATGACTTGGACAAAGAGATAGAAGAGATGCAGCACGTGAGCCACGAGCGTGTTGTAGGCGCTGGAGAGCAGTGCGAAGGAAGAACCAGCTAGCTCCAGAGCTCGTGAGCAAGACACCAGAAGCACCTTTGCGTGCACGTCAAAATCTTCCAAATGCGATTCAATTTTGAATTGATGGTGGTCATCATCTAAATCAATATGGCTACATTTTCATTTATTACCTAAAACTCGATGGAGCCCAACTTGATCTTGTCGCGGTAGGATATGCCGTTAAAGTCCTCGACAAGGTGCTGGTACTGGTTCAAGTGAGTCAAGTGATAGTGCGCCGTGTGATTCGGGATGGCCTTGTCTCCTGGCATGTAATGGCACACGTGCGTACCTGCCTCCCTGTAGGCGCACCAAATAGAGTGAACAAGGACAATCGACAGCAGGCATATAACGGACGTACTTGGCGGCTTTGATCGTGGGTGCGTGCCGAGCAAGCACCAAGACGTCGGAAGTCTTGAGACCGAGCTCCTCGCAGATGTGGAGGATCGGCTTCGAGTCTGGGAATTTTTCTTGCTCTGCTTTTGGAACAAACATGTCGAACTGCCCCTCCATCTTTCAAATCAAACGTAGTTAGTTGTTGGGACAAGGCCATCAACTTCAAAAGGCAACAAAGCGTTTACCTCATTTAGGAAAAACTCGTACTCGTCCTGCGCAAGCAGCATAAAAAGCAGAGTTAGCAGGCTGCTCTTTTGCTCTAATAGTACCCGTCTTGGTGCCAACACGCACATCCTGCAGCGGGTCTCGAGGTGGAATCACAGCCTTGAACAAGCCCCGCAGATCTGAGTAGCTCTACACAGCACGAGCATCCAAAGTCAGACACACTTAAGCAGTCCTTGATCTTTGCTCGTCAACACGCACCAGCACTTCATTCGCTCCTTCATTCACGACCCAAGTCGACAACCCCGCAGACGTGGTCGAGTCCACGACTTCCTCCGGCCCCGCCGTTGTATTCGCAGCTCCTTCGTGCTTCTTCTTCTCCTTCAGCCTGTTGATTTTGTCCAAATACTTGTCTCTCACCGAGCTCGCTTGATTTCCACTCTTCACGCCAAAGCCCATCTTACTCCATTTCTCTCTTTCCTGCTTCTGTTCTTCCTTGTGCTGCTTCACCCTCGCCAGCTCCTCGGACGCCGACTGCAGCTGCTTCTCCAAGTAAATTTCGTCTTCGCTCTTACCTACTGCAGCTTCGTCCTTCTCTTTTGAACCCGTGACGCGGTCGAGAACTGCGGAGACACACACACACAATGACACATCCAGTTAGTCTGTAGCCGTTAGCCATCAATACTATGCCGCATACTTTGGTTCGGCAGGCCTTGTAGGGTACTTTTCAGCCGCTCCTTGACGATCCATGGCTTGCCTGGCGAGTCCTCATTGAGGTCTTTGAGCAGACTGCGCACGTCGCCCACCAGCATTGATTTGATAGATTTGGCGCCAAAAAGCGACGATCCGAAGCGATTTTCCGTTTGTTGGCGCTTCTTCTCGGCCACAAGCTTCTGGCGCTGCTGCTCCGCCTGTTGAGCTGCAGATTTGCCCAGTAGCGTGCCGCATAGCACGTCGTACTCGATGACGACGCCCTTGAGCTGCTGCGCCGCCGCCTTTGCCAACTTCATGAAAGTGAACTTCTTCCTCTACAAGAACCACGATGTGTGGTGCACATGGATTGAAGCCAGGATATGGGTACACATCTTAAAGTGTCATAATCGTGGAATGTTGATGGATTCTGTGTTGTTGTGGCTGAGGAAATGCAATGCGGTGGAGATTAGCTACCGAGAAGCGATTACAGACAGCGATGGCACGCGAAGTGCAACGACCTTTTCGTGTATTATAGAATCACGCACCGCACAGTGGGCGCAATCTACGCCAAACTCTGGCAACTAGGGAAGCAGGTGGATTAGGCGAACAAGTGGCTTGTTAATAAGGGGCTTGCAACGCGGTCAACAACGAGAGGGTGAAGCGAACGGTGTTATGGCTTTGTCCGGAGTACATCTCGAAGTTGCATCGTTGTTGCGCGATGCACACCCTCCCATTTCGATTAGTCCCCACCTTTACGACTGCAAGGCAACCCACACTACGGCTCTCCCCAAGGAGAGCTCCGTATTCTCCTATTGTAATATTTCAACATGAAATTTTCATACAAATTTTTTTTTGTGTTGTTATGTCCCGTGACGGTTTACAACAAGTACCGTAGCCATACCTGTTAAGAGCACTAATAATGTACATATTTGAACAGCATATGAGCAGTACCTGAAATTGATCACTGAGCAGCTGCTTCGAACAGAGACAACGTACGTAGCCGTACTCGTCCTCCATCGTAGTCTTCGACACGTCCGCTATCTCCGCCGCGTGAGCGTGCGATGCACGCATGCACCATGCATACAGTAGCCGAGCGGCTTGGGCTAGCGACAGTTTCATCCCAGAAAACCAAGTATAGTTAATATACTCAAACTTACCTCCCTTCCGTCATCGTGGCATTTCTTGCGGCAGCACCGCCAGTGTTTCGTCTTCCCGGAGACTCTTAAACGCATCGGGCGCTGGCAGCCTGGACAATACATAGCGCTTTCTAGAAGTCCTGCTTGCTGCCACCACGCTACAGCCCCAACCTCGTCGCTCGTCGCCTCAATGATTGAGGTGAAGGTGAAGTGCTCCACGTTGTGGAGAGCATAGTGATGGCTGGTTGCGCTAGTCATGATACGGAGGGAGGCTGGCAGAGTCTGGTGCGGTGCGAATACTTTGCAAAGTAAGGGAGTAAGCGTGCTGGCTGAACGCGTGGCGGGGAAGGAACGGGGGCTTTTTTGCGTTTACATACAAATGGCTAGTAATTTGTTTTTACATACATCGTGTAAATGTCGTCGAAAACGGGGGCGTAGCCCGGTTATTTGCCATTTTGAGTCGTGAGCAAATCTTGTGTGACGCACACTGGTCAAATCACAAACTATGAAAATTTCATGTTGAAATATTACAATAGAAGAAAACGGAGCTCTCCTTGGGGAGAGCCCACACTACTTCTGAAAAGCCAATGGTGAAAAGTCGAAAGCTTCGACGCGCTGATGAAGTGTGTAGAGAGAGCGGTGGGCGTCATCAGACCTCAAAACGAGTAAGACGCAGGGCTTGGTAAAATCTAATATGATATTGATTGCCAGGCAGACCCCACACCAATTAATAATGGTGTTATTTGTCAGTTTTTTTCAGTACACGTCCGTGACAGATGGATGCGTACGTCACATTGCCGCCTCGCACTTTCAAAAAAGGAAAACCTGGGATCTAGTCAAAACGGATACGCGCATTGGAATCGGAAGGGGGGTTTACCTGGAGAACCCTCCCGACACGCCCCACCACCCGAACGAACACCAACTTAAACATACCGATCGTACTGATGGGTACATTTCTGTGATTATTATAATACTGACTAAAACTACTAATAGTAGAAAATTTCTACTATTGGTATTTAATACCAGTACGAAAATCACAGAGAAAATTTACCAATCTGATCAGTTCGCGTTTTCTTCTTCCCGAGCTCGTGTCCGCTTCTTTCCCAGCTCAATTGCCTCGGCAACCGCACTTGCATCCCACGAGCTCCTATTGAGCTGCAAAAAGAGTATCGTCTCCAACGTCATTGGGTTAAGGCTTCGGCGCAGACGTGATAACACAATTGCTGCATGTGAGAACAGCCTCTTCACGTCATTAGATGTAGGCGGGATCCACTGCAGGTCCTCTCTAGAAGAAGTCGCTTCCTCCTGACTCAACGCAGCCTCGGTAAAGGACTGATGGGCATCTTCACCTTCCTCCTGCGGTCCCGTCGCCACAGTATTGGTGGTTTGGAGAAGTTTTACTACAGCTGCTCGTTCTCCTCTTGTCAGGATATTCTCTCCGCCAGCCATAAGCTTAATGACCCCATTCTCGAAGTCGGGAAATTTGACCAAAGAGGCTGTAGGAGACAGGTACAACTCCGTTCCAGGGTAATGCTTGATGACATGATCAAACAGAGTTCGCACACTAAGCAGGGACACCGTCGTTGTTTGTAGCTTCTTGTTCACACTCTCGAGAATGTTCGATTGAAGGCTCTGTATGAAGCGATTGAAGGCTCTGTATGAAGATCTTCTTGAGATCTTCATACAGAGCCTTTAATCGAATGTATGTATGAAAATCTCAAGAAGATCTTCATACAGAGCCTTCAATCGAACATTCTCTCGCGGGGTGAGAATGAAGTCCGCCAATTAGTCGTCGATGCGGTCCAACTTCGAATAGATGCAAAAATAGCGGTCGATCATGGAGAATGTGCTGCTCCAGCGTGTTGCATTACGATAGACGGGCATGAGAGCGTCTGCCTCGCGGAGATGATGCCGGTTCTTGATCGTTTTCAACTTGCCCATGAGCGCTTGGACTTTTTTTCAATAAATCGTCGTCCTCAGCTACACCGATGACCGCCACGAAATGCGTACCGTCCTCGATCCATGCGTCGATAGCAAAGTCATTTTCTTGCCTCACAGTAGCAACTTGATCCACCCCTGAACGACACTTTCCAGCCCGAACATGTTCTTCTTAAGCGTCTTCACGCTCACTCGGTTCAAACGAGTATACTTCCGCGTTTTCGCCTTTTCACACATGCTCAGTTCGCGGTTCTCCATGATGATCCAGTCCAACCAGTGATAAATTGTCCTGGAAAATTCATTACCCTTCACGAAAGTGTCGAGGCTACCTTCTCGCCGCTGAATCGCCCGGAATTCGTCCTCGTAAGTACTGGCATGGCACCGTACGAGATGTTCCACCAGGTTCGTGTACCCAGTGCCACGAGCTTGCTTCCGACGGGAGAAGCAGATCCGACACTGATTCGTCCACGTAGGTTAGCCTTGTATCTAGACTCTGCCCAGAAGATTTAGTCTTGTCGTCATCATCGTTATCGTCGTCTGTAGTGACCTCTTGTACAACCGACGCCCACTGTGCCATTTTCTCCATTCCATCGATTGTCAGCAGCTCCACAAACTCTGGATGTGCCTGCCACGCGAACATCCACTCCAGCTCGCGGATGTAGTCGTCCTGGTCCAGGTCGGCTTCACGGAAGATCTGATTTACAGCGAGGGGAATTTCTTTTTCCACCTCCTCCATCAGTTCCTCAATGGCTTGGACGCTACTCGCCATGGCAGCGTCCTGGACAGAAGACAATTCTTCGACCTGCTCGTTCGCCATCTGGATTTGAATTTGGTCTCGCAACAGCTTAGGGAAGAGCTTATTATTATTATTATTACGATTATTGAATTTTATCGAGCCCTGGTAAGACGCAAGATGTCCCACGAGGCATGACGGCAATAGAAAGGAGAAGTGGAAGTACGTCATCGACGTGAGATTCTTCAGCTTGAGCTCCAAATGAAACAAGGTGAGGCAGTAGGTGTGCGAGTCAAGATTCGCCAGGAGCTGCTCGATTTGGGCATTTCTTGCAAAGAAATGGCAATTAACCGGTTGCTGCCTCTTTGACGGTATCGTCGGACGCTTGTGTCGGTAACGCTAAGAAGTTGCTTGTTCAGAAGGCTCGCGAAAGGGTTAACCTTTTTAAATCTAAACTTGAGACGGTAACGTTATTATAACGCTATGTATTTTTATTGTAGAGGGTACATCATTTTTTATTTTCTCCCTGGAAATTAATTTCAGAGAGATATGATATTCTTTGAAATAAAACCAGGTACTTATGTAATCTAAAAGGCCTGACATAATTCAAAACAAAAAGTTTCTTACATATTTCAGGTGACGCAAAAATTGAAAATTCAGAGGCGCAATAAATTTAAAAATTTCGTGCGTGTCGTTCGAACCGTAAAATACCGTAATATATTAACCAATGGTAAGCATACATGTTGCGCGAAGAGAGCTTGGTCAATCACTTACACAAAATTTTGAATTGATAAACTCTACTGAAATCAAACAAGCAAGTCCCTGCTTCTAGCTGACGGCACTACCAAAGCGCCAGAAATACGAACTGCGCTAAGGACGCCATTTAATGTAGAAGGTAGCCCAGAAGCAGCAACGATACAAGTAGCCTACTTTTTCTCACGGGCCACATGCAAATCTGGCTTTTCTTTTAGATCTAAGACAAAGAAACGGTAAAGCATAAGACAAGGGCGGAGACCAAGAGCAAAACTATCATATAGATCAGCTTAAATAATTCCGTAGAGCTAGCATCGCGCATGGAATCAGTTGGCACAGCTACGACACAGAGGATATGTCGAGCTTTTTTGATATGGGTCACGGCCTGTGTCACAATACAAAAGACAAGATCTTTGTGACCTGCCAGCGATCCAAAGTGTACCAGATTAGGTGCACAGCGTAACTAGGTATAGTTTATCATAGTCATGTCAAATCAAGTCAAATCATATTATTCGTCCCAGTTGATAAACAGTGTGATTCAATGTGACTATGCAAAAGTGTCCTATGCTTTATTTCTGGTTCTGTTTCGCGCTGTTGCAGGTATAGCGACGGGGCTTTTTTGGTTGCCTTCTTCGCTGGAGCACCCCGCTTGGTCACACGGCGCTTACTCTCGGGCGGCTCGGCGACGGCTGGCTCGGCGACGGCTGGCTCGGTGACGGCTGGCTCGGTGACGGCTGGCTCGCTCTTAGGCGCGAAG